CATTGTCAAAGTGGCTGTGGAACCACAAGCTGCAGGCAAGTGGTTCTGCAGTAAACTTTGACAATGTTATCACGAAATTTATCATCAAGAAGAGGATAGATGCCAAAAATATTGACGTGAATTTGTTTTTTACAATAACAAGACCCCAGAATGCTCAAATATCGGGAATAAATGAGGGGAAAAGATGTCGTAAACTCGCTGTAAACAAAGCAAAGTGAAATTCAATTTTATTCAAAATGACACAAATGTTGCAATAGCTTTTCTCGCTTTTTGATTGGCTACTTAAAAAAGTTCACGAAATCTCATTGGCTGAAAAGTTGACAGTTTGACAGCTGAAAGTTGAACTTGAAAGCTTGCATAAACTAAAATTTTATCCGTCTGTACTCTTATTGAGCCAATCAGCGTGCGAGAAATTAGACAGTTATTGTAAAAAACAGTTCTTGCATAGCAGGCATAGTAAGATCTCACTCTCATTCAAGACTTCAATACAAATTTTGGAACAAGCCTCTGAAACAGACATTTAAAACTATGAATTTCAAATACCCAGCACTTAAAGCAATTATGCTTGATAATACTGTAAACCTCTGACTTAAGTTTGGTGCAATGGAGGAATCAAAGAGAGACTCATTCCAGTCTCCAGTGCACTAATTATTACAGGTACATCTTCACATCACCTCTCAGGGTGTAAACTAATGGCTAAATGAAACACCTTAAATTCAGTCCTCACCTTTGATTTCAATTTCTGTGTCTCCTGTGATGGGTCCTCCACCCTGCATAGTTTGTGACTGTCCAGTGCCACTTGTAGTTTGTTCATCTTGTTTAACCATTTTAGATATCAATGGCCTTCAAATAACCCAAAAATTTCAATCAAAAAAGCAGTGTTGGAAATTAGAGAAAATTATTTTGATATGCTAAGGGGGGATGAGGAGGTGTTAAGGAGAGGCTTGGAATTTTTTTATCGAACCTCCAAAACCTCCCAAGGGAGGCTCTCAAAACACACCAAGTTTACATGGGGGCTTGCATTATTTTACCTCCAACAATACCAATATCAAGCTGAATACATTGTACATGCATACAGTGTCAGTAATTTCTACAATGATGTCTATTAACCTTCCATCCCTATAAAGAAT